TGTTCTGCTTATGAGATCAGACCCTTTGACTACTGCACAGTATTCTGTGAAGTTATTGAAGTTATATGTGCATTGCATAACATCATAAATATCAAAGTTGCAAAGATTTTTTTTTAGAAATTTTTGGTTTTGCATGATATTTGTGATAGTGGTATTATTTTTTTTAAATACATGTATATGTGCTATGCAACTGTTCCTAAGTTTTATCTAAAAAACTATATTCAATGTTTGGGACTATAAAATTTTTGTACTTAATTATTTTAAAACCTGCTTTACTTTCGTCACCTTTCAACACCTTAAAATTTTATAAAAGATATTGAAAATTTAAGCACTTTCATAATCTTGCAGCAATTTCAGATTGTTTTAAACTTTGCTTTCAAATTCAAGTGACAAGAAAGAGCATGTGTGGACACTTTGAATGACAAAGTCATCGTATACAAATAAAAATCATTTGTTTCATATTTTTAGCTTCTCTGTTGACTTTGTCAAGCAGAGCTTATCATATGAGTGATAGTCTGTCGTCGTCCGTGTCAACTTTTTCAACTTCTTCTTGAAAACTATAAGCCTGAATGCTTTGATACTTGGTGTATATGTACCTTGGGTAGACCTCTCTTCGATTTGTTCATTTCATGATGATATCATCAATTCCCTATTTTTGGTAAAAAGTGATATTTTCGACTCCTTGTTATAAACTGCAAGTCTAATTGCTTTGATATTACATATATAGGTGCTACATGCGGAGCTATCTCAGCTGACAGGCTGTTTGTTTTAAAAGCATTGAAGCATTGCAGGAAGTGGGAAATTAGGCTGAATTTGGTCCAAAATTAAACAAATATTATTGTTAAATACAATTAATTTGCAAAACGTTGCACCCACATTTTAACTGAAAAAATTCATAGCATTGAAGGGATTATACAGCGGCTACACTAGAGGAGATCACAAGAGTTGTCGTGCTTCAAATATGATATCTGCTACCTGCATTGTCAGGGGTAAAGACATGTCTTATTATTGTGATGTACATCAAGTGATGCCAAGGAAATTGGCAACTAGTGATGTTGAATTCTTTAAGTAGACAGTGCCACCCAAGGAGTATGGGACATGAAGCACTGTAATCATGCTAATTAGTGTATGTAACCAATTTGATTACCATGGCAACAAAGTTGATGAGAGAGAAAACGATGTCTCTGATTTTGCCGATATATATTTACATTGTATATATGTGATGATTATTTTACAATGACTGTTGTAGTCATAAATATAAACTGAAAATCGCTTTACTGTAAAATGACTAATTTTCACTGGGTTTAAATTTCACTGATTTACCATTTCGGGCATATTCAGTGGGTTTTATCATTTGGATAATGTATTCTATGCTAAATTTTACATAATCACTGGGTTTTAATTTAGCCACAGCCCAGAGGGACTGTGATTTAGCACATTTTCCAGTCAGCGAAATAAGCAAAATTAAAACTCACTGAATAATCAACCCTTCTACAGTAGTACATATTATAGACTTTACCAATTTTTTTTTACTATTTATCTACAGTCTTATAAATCTTGCTAAGCATTCCAAGATGAGAATGTTAGTGCACATTTTCTATATTTTAAAATCATTTTTTTAGGTATATTCCACCATTAACAAAGCAGTTTCTCGCCAAGTTTGTTTAAATAAAAAAAATGAAAAAAAAAAAAAATTTCTTCACCCAGAATCTATATTCATTAATTGTGTTATAGCAACAGTGAAACCTGTAGAACAACTGGTACAGTCTGAGTATAATAACAGTTTGCAAGTTTTTATCCTGCTTAGCTTGCTATCATAACCATTGAACATACAATGTGTATTTACATTGTATTGATCTATCTGCCTATGAAATATACCTCATATTAGTAACAGAAGTACCATAAATACTGCAAAGATTAAGTTGAACTTCACTGTAAATTGTTATAAAATGGTAATGCCAGATAACTATTTTGGGATTTTGGTCATGATACAATCGGATTGTACTGTATGCTAGAGTATTGCTCCATGAAATAAAAGAAAAACATTCCGTGAAATATCATTTAGATGTACTAATTATTACTTTAACACAGTTATAGCCACAGGGTAAAACATTATCAAGGATACACTTATTAAAAATTATAGCTCATTCATTTATTCCACTAATTTAAAATCTTGATTACCTTCAGCAAAATTTATTTTTATTGCCGTTGTTATATTTCACGTTTTCAATTTATTCCAAAATTGTAAGACATCCACTCTGTAATATATATGGCTTTGGTTTTTACTTTAAACTATTGTGACTGTTTCCTATAGTCTGAAGGTCAAACCACCTCAAGGTTTTTTCATTTAAGTGGTTTCCCTCTTCCTTGATGCTAGTTAATGGATTGGACTTGGTTTGTCCGTCGGCCCTTTCGTTTTCTGAGCTCATTTTCAGGTATGCCTGGTCCAATTTTATTCAAGCATTAGTGGCATTCACATTAAAGATCTAAGCACATGCCTGGC